ACCCTTAAATACCGATTATCTAGACCATCTTGACCGGCATGGATTTCTTTCATATCTTCCTTTAATTTCTCGTTGACTGCAATGGAGTGTTCATCTACATTAAGCGGAATTTAATCACGTGCTTTACTTGTAAACTATGTACATTGATATCCCCGCATATTTCGGCGAGACCGCCCTACAAATTGTTCACCAGTTGTTCTGCTCGGTCGAATCTTCTATTAATTGCCCGTGATTCTCTAAACAGTGCAAGTATTTTCTTTAGCGTACAGTGGCTGGATGTGATCGGCAAAACAGAAGAGTCAAACATTTAAGACCATTCTTACTTGCCCTGTCATTTTTGGTATACTCATTTCGACCCCATTGTTGCAAATGCTCTACCATCTTCGTCTCCGCGGCTAGTCGAGCATTTATACTTCGAATTCTCAAATGTGCTGTGACCTCACCTAATAGAAGCTGTGAGTGTTGTAAGGAGATTTGATCATTTGTTATTGGAGATAATTTAGTTTGTCAGATGTTGATCTGCGTAATCGAAGGCATCTTAAAACAGAACTAATCCCAACAGTATTTATGTTATAACATTAATGGAACAACGGGATAGCAGTTTGTGTAGATCTGAAGAAACCAATCGCGATGCATCTTGGGGAGTGTAAGATGCAATCGAATACATATTCTCGACAGAAAAAAAGCGTCACCCTAATACATCATTTATTTGTTCATTTATTCATTTATTCATTCATTCATTCATTCATTCATTCATTCATTCATTCATTTATTTATTTATTTATTTATTTATTTAAGCACAGATTGACCTACGAAAACTACGGCTTCGAAAGTACGTATTGCATTCGTTTATCGTTCAAGGCTAAAACTCCCAAAAACATGCGTTTGGCACGTACAAAGTCTGACGTAGTGTACTTGTATGTGAAACTGATCACGGTACACATGTGGAGTATAAGAATGGACTGTCGTTAAATTGTTGTTAATTTTATTCTGCATTTTCTTGTTATTTTCAGTTAAAACCATTATCACATGTTCATCTTCAGACTGTGAAGCAGGGCATTTAGACATGGAAGTAGCGATCTTTGCATATATAAACAAGGAAAGCTATACAAAACATGGAAGGTAATGTACACAACGGATAGTTGTACGATTAACTTATGCGTTTAATGGGGCTACATTTGTTTTAATGCACAACTCGTGTACCAGCACATATTGTTATTGTCAGGTAAACACCCGCTGAAATTGCTCTTAAGTTCAATGAACTATTTGCCCTTACATTAGTTACATTGTTTTCACTCTGCCTCATTACCATGGCGATATGGACGAGACGGCTGCACCATTTAACGTTTTGTTTATATTTTCAGCCATATATGCGTGTTCCTTATCAGCATATAACACACATTAGTAATGCCCTCATCAAAACTGTTATCTGACACCAATCCAATAACTGTCAATTATATCGTATGTGATTTGCATTATGATTTTGTCTCTCAATAAACATGTTCGTCGGTGATTTGTGTTGTCGCGGGCGTAGATTGAACGCTACGATTGCCACAGGCGCATGCAGATTTCGTGTAAACAATGTATTCTGCACGCCTTTGGTACGTGATGTGACCCACATTGCTTCATGAGAGGCGTGGTGGCCTTCGCGCTTCAACCTTTAATATCAACGCTAGTATACTAGCATACTAGTTATTTTTGGCTCGCCACGATCTCTAAGCTTGTTGAGACACGAGTTTTTGAATATATTTAAGTAAGTCAATTACTGTTAAAAAATCATGAATTCGTCATATCTATGAGGAGTACTACAAAACCTTTGTGATTCCTAATGCTACTTGTAGTTCAATTTGAGCAACAGCAGACCCTCCCATTAAAGAGGGGGAGTCGTCCCCTGCGCATGCGTCAGATGGCCAAAGCGTGTCATTGTTTACAAACAAGCGTCTACCCACGAGCCTTTGCCTTTTTAAGCATGTGTTGTTATCGTCGATTGGGACTCAACTTCCGCGCGTGCGCAGATGACGACCCTCCCGCTTTAAGTTGAACTTCGGGCGAGTCGGACAATGGCGTGAATATTGGCTATACTGTCCGTGTTACAAGTCACATATGGTATGCATTCAACATGAATGATACGAGAAGAGTATTGATATAGCGTGCCGAGTCTGTCGAGTCGCAATTCTCGACTTTGGGGTCTAAACAATCGTTAAGGTGAAAAAGGAAGCCAAATCAGGCGTCCGATAAACATGAGAGCAAAATCCCTGGATGTAGCCAGCGAAGTTATGCTTCAAATGAAAATTGAAGGCCATTCATAGTCTAACCACCAGCTAGAGAATTTCATAATTTTTTTTTTTAGATTTATTTAATTTTTTTTGCCCACTCCCCACATCTTTTGGAAGGTCTAGCGTTTTCCTCAGTCTGCAAAACATTTACATGAATTTTCTGATTTGTTATCTTTATATATATAGTGTTCCATTATGGTCACTAAAACGTATATGCTCACATAAAGATGCACCACCTAGACTGAACTTTTACATTTCTCACTCAAAATATTTGAAAAAGTTCCCTCCTAAAATTGCAAACAATTTTTCCTGTTCTTAAAAAATAGTCAATTTGTTTCCTTTCCTCAAATCATCTTCTTGGAACAGGTTTTTCGATGAATAGTTACTATGCTGCTCAATATCTATAATTTTCATACAGTAATATAATATAATATGATAAATATGTTGTTCATGCGTTCAATTTCCCATTTGATATAGTGTTGGTATTTAATTTGTCAATGATCTCCGCAATTAGAACATTCTTTGTAATTGAGCATAATCTCCATTATTCCTTTCTAAGCATATTCACACTCAGTGTCCGTCGGTCACTCTGTTTGGCTTTCTGGTTTCTTACTTTACAGACATCAGTATCAACAAATGGTGGCGCTATAAATCGTCATCCGAAAGCAAGTTTTTCCATGGTAAATACAAACTGCTTTCAAAAACCACTGCATTTTCAGTTTGATTTTTTTTTTTTTTTTTTGGAGAAAGCCTACAATACGTTATATAAAGTGGTTTAAAACCCGAGACCAACAACCAATTGCTGACTGCATTGAGAAAGGCGATGATCGCTCTATTTCTCAGAAGAGTAACTATGTACTCAAACTATTTTCCGAAAGCTACACATATCGAAGATTTATTCTCGTCATTATATAATTATTTGTTATGTCAACATGTCAGTGAAGTAAAATATAGAAGTTTCGCTTTCTCGCTCTTGGTTGGTTTTGTGTATTGAAAAAAAAACCAGAGTATTAATGAATGACCGCCGTTGGTGGTAGACTTTATTGAGTCTCAGGATATTTAATTTAAAGGCAATAGATGTTTATGCGTTAATTGTACATTTGTTAAACCGAATCACGTGATGAAAAATGTGTCCACCACTTGATGCGACTTCAACGATGTTTCTTGTCATTTAAAATATATATTGTACTATACTACGTTTCTGCTGATAACTTCCGCCAAGGAAGGTACGTTTTTGTAGGCTTTAGTTTGTACGTCTGTAGAATTTGTTTGTCTGTAGGTAGAATGACTTTAAAAGTTGGGAACGCATTTTCTTGTTTTTAAGAGGGGTTGCCATGGGGACACCGGCCAATCGATCAGACTTTGAAGGAAATCTGGGTCAGGTTGTATGGGATTTTTTTTACAAGTGCAGATTGAGAGGCATATAGACGTTATAGTTGGTGCCGTTAAGTCGTGTCTAAAACCATGGGTCAATTAGCATGAATAGAAATTGATATATGTGGCATAGTTAGTGGGTTATTTAGTTTCGAGCAAGCAAATTTATTTCTTTAGAAAGTGCGTCGGCTGGTGTGTAACTCTATGTACGCCTCGAACATAGCTGATTGGCGAAGGCCAAGAAAAATACTGATGTAATTTTGCGAATGTTCACACCATCGCAATTATTATGCTACGTCAAATGGACTACACTGGTTGCCTGTCGACACACAGCGTATGAACCCAGGGTTTTTAGTAATAGATTATTAAAAATAAAACATGTTTCATATACAATGTTAATTCATACATTTTAGTTCACTAGAAATTGCATCGCCTTTTATACGTGTGTCTAAATCTTTTAATGAGCATTGTACATTATAATTAGAAACGGGAAAAACACGTACATTATATACACACTTTATATAATATAGGTATATGCATGCTCGTTATTTATACTTTATATACTGTTTTTAATTATTCAGGTAAATCTTACTTGGTGTTTTACAATATATCAACGTTATCATATGATTGCAACAATTACAAAATCAGTGTAGTTTGTGGAAAGAACAGAAGTGTTATAGTACCAATATGACAATCAATGAAGTCAAGTCGTGTGTTTGTCATATCCAAGTACGTACGGATTTAATCGAATATTAAACTAAACGTAATTTTGTTTATATTTCATATGGGCGACTTTATGTCATTAGAAATACAAAACAAAATGCTTAAACTGATTTTGTGACAAAAAGTGTCAGAAATGTCACAGAAAATTATTTGCATGATTTATATAATCGCATTGTTTCTATAGTTGGCATTTCCGCATGTCTCGAAATTTCGCTTATTGACAAAAATCCGTATATTGTTAAAATTCACATATTTGAAACTTAATGATATAAAATTATTATTATTACATAACAAAACACACGATCTTGTATATCTCGTCAATATACCTCTCGCACAAATGGCCGCTGAGATCTCGTAGAGTGCTAGAAAGCCACGGTACCCGTTTTTGCCCCTAAATAGTGGGTTCTTTTTTCACCCGTTTTGGCGTCACTTGTTCCAAACATCATGGGTACATAAGTGAGTGCACTCGATGACACACACAAGTCTCGCGGTCATTCACGTGTTGGCGGTCGTTTGCTTTTAAGGTCCAATATATACGCGTCACCCATCTACTTTGACTAACACCGTGAAATGCAACAAATAAAACCATTAAAGCTATTACAATCATAAAATAGAAAATACTGAATATTAAATGACGGATATATTTTCAAAAAACTTCACCAAGATTGGCATATTGAAAAAAAAGCAAACACTCGTATGTTGAAACACAGATTAGCCATACGTAGCCTTACATTGGAATATTCTTCTATTGGTTACTGTTGAGCCAAATTGTTCCTACATTATCACTTTCAATAATTCATATCACAAAAAAAACTTTCGTTCCATCACTGATTTTCATGTTTCAACCACAGACAGAATCCTACCAAATTACAGTCCAATCCAATTAAGCCACGACGAACTGGTCTTTGACACCTGGTCGAGGTTCAAACGTTTGTCTCTGTCGTCAGCGCGTTCCAGATCATAGTGACCAGATGCACCCATCCTATAGATGTTCTCGCCGCCTTTATCCCATTTCACTTTGACCCAGTGTCCTTTGTTGGGTTTCGATAATACAGTGCCTTTACAGCCTGCTCCGCCATCCTGTGTAAAACAAATTATAAATGACAATGCAAGAATAAACAGACACACCATTGTTTTTAGTCTCGTTGATTTACACTCTTAATTTTTGTTATTTAATAACTCACAATGACAATTTAATATTTGCGAATCGATCAGTAACTCAACTGAACGGGTATTTGAGAGATATGTTTTGTCACCTGATTCGATCTTTGAATTCATCCAAAAGTGATGTACTGACAAATTTGTCTACTAGTATTATATTATCGGCGTTAGACAAGTATTGAGTTTCGAACGTAGTGGCGTACTAGTTGAACGCGTCATCCAACAAAATAGTCAGTGGCATTGAATGTTTCCGCGCAAAATCGGCAACGCCGCCTTGTCCCGGCCAACCCGGGGTTCTGATAGACTAATAATCGCTCATTGTTGTCGAAAACGTCAGGAAAACGGGCAATGAACTTGTTGTAACACTTCACATCAATTTCTAACGATCTTTCTAAACATGTTACACACAAATCGCAACACGTCAGTCATAGTTTGGACAGCAGGAACATTAGAAAACACGGCACATATAAAGTACGTAATATATCAAAAAGAACGTAACTATCGTGATTTTACTTTAATGTTGATATTCGAAACTTGTTTTATTCGTTATAAACCACCATCGACTGTGTTTAAAACATCTGTGATCACTACAACATGACTCGATGATAGCAAACGAAACTTAAAGTGGGGTGCATTTCCTCTTATAATATGTTTGTGGGTTTTGTTTATATTTCCCTCTTCATATACGAATCAACAAAATCAGACAAATACACTGTTTAATTTGTGACATTCAACCGCATAATGAAATCGTGGAGATGTGATATTTACATTTATATCTTTACATCTAGTGAAGCCTACTTGTGCTTTTTTGCGGATTTCACGGTCTCTATTAAAAACATAATTTTAGCTCCATGCGTTCAGTACAACGCCGCTAAGATTGTAGTTAGTTTGAATGTTTGATTTGTGTTCAAAACACCGTCTAAATTATTGATACTTTTGACAACACTGGAACCACGAGCATCGTTTGAAATTTCCCCGGTCTAAGCGCCCACGCTTTGGGTTGTTAGAACATGCACGTTTGGTTGTTCGGAAACACTGAATTGCTTCATTGGTCGAAGTGTGCAACTTACTTGTACGCCACTGCGTTCGAAAATCAATTCCTGGCTAGTGTCGGTAGTATTCAAATTATGATTTCAATATCAATCAAATCTTGATCAAAACATTACAATATGAAATAGGACAATTGTTCTATTGACAATCTTTGCCTTACGTACGGTGTCGACTTTGCGTTGTAATTAATACCCAGGACTAAATCCATCATTATCAGGGCACAGTGTCATTACCTGGTTCTGCCAGATCCAATCTGAACCACGCTCCACTCTGTCACCTTCCGTCATTTCAGCCGCCAATAATGGTCCACTCATTGTCTGGAAATGTAAATTTGATAATTCACAATTAATTGAACAAACACTTGGTAACGGCTGCACTGTTATAAAGGACGACGTAAATACATGAAATATATTTATGCATGTTACGCTCCGTATAAATTACGACCTATAAGCTCCGATGTTATGGGGTTCATGTATTATTAGACTAAACCGTCCGTCGTTGGATATCACTATAGTTAGAAATTGACACGTAAACAACATTTTCGGCAAAATTGTCATTCGTGTAACTCCTACAACAAGAGATGCTTTAATATAGAACTCTTTTCCCTGTTATATACGCATATACGCACATAAATGGATGCACATATATTTACTTCGCAGATATGAATTATTCATCTATTTAAATAATTTTGATCAAAGTGGGATAATTTTGAAGAGAAATGTGTAAAGTATAATTTTTAAATTTTATACTGTGACGTAAAATACGGGAGTGGCCTTTGTGAGGCTAATCCGTATTCAGGAGCTGGGAGCTTATCTTCAATACTGGTCTAATAATAGACGTCTCTGGCAGCGTGCTTATCTTATAGGTCTTCTATCTTAAGCTCATCCGTTGTCACGGTGAGGGGATCGTTTGGTGAAAGTATACCACCACAACTGAGGCAGTGCAGGATAGAAAATATACCGGTAACAAATACTATAAATCAAAACAACGCAATATACAAGATTTCCTTCACTTTAATACATAAATAGTACGGGGGTGGGGGGGGGGGGGCTAGTCACTGAAACCAGCAAGAAATAGGGATAAACTGTAAACAAATAAAATCAGAGACTTGATCGATGCTGCAGGGAACATTCCACTACAATGTACAATGTTGCGTTCTTTCGTTTATGGCACACTGTCAAAGCAGCTGTACTACAATTTAAACTCGTGCTCTGTGTCCAGGGAGTATCGGCAACTGCACTGCTATATGCTGCTACTGGTAGCACTAGTACAACGGGAGTATTGCATTCCAGGCAGTGAGCTTCTAGGGGTTCCTGTTGATCAGCAGGGATTACTGCACAGTACGTCTGCATATGTACCTCAGTATAGGGTACAGCTCAATGAAGTCGGGTATCAGCTTCACAGTATATTACAGGGTCAAGTCAGGTCACCTTCCTGTCTAAAGTTTGTTTACATGTTTCAACTTAAATACTACAACTAAATTATGTCCATGCAAACAATAAAATGTTTTCAACGACATTTATTCTCAAAATAGCGGACAAATCAGTGTATAGAGGATGCGATATTTACTATATAGGGGCCGCCATCTTGAATGACGCATAAAACTAAATAAGAGACAAGTTGTGAAACTCGTTTTTCAGATTCCTACAAATCAGGACAAAAATACCAATCTTGCAGAAAAATACGGTCCGTTGGGGTTATATTAAGCCTAATGATAACGAAATTCGGCCGAATTCGTCGTTTTTGTGTGGAAAAATCCCTTGCATACAAACAATAGTAGGCTTGTAACGTTTATTTAATAAACTGAATTTATATTGTGAAAAGTGGAAAATGGTAGTAAACACAGAGAAGACAAATGTTATAGCTTTTAAAAATGGCGGTCATCTATCGAACTCTGAGAAGTGGTACTATGGGGGGCAGCCCGTAGAAGTGATGCCATCTTATATTACACCCGGGTAGCAATTGTATATACGTTGCTAAGATACGGGTCAAAATGTTATCTTGCATTACTTGTCCCTAAAGCAATCCAATGTGCGATATAATACCGTGCTTTGTTGGGTACGACAACACTTCCTATATCATATGATATGGGGTTTTTTTCGACTAAATTGTTATCACCGATTTTCAGATGATCATGTTAGAAATTGCAATATATTAGACAGACATCATAATTTGAAAAACAATAAGTTTTTTTGTTAATTACGCGGTTATGCAAATATGTAGAGTAGCTATAATCCAAGGAAATGCGAGATATATAATATTCACAGCGGATATGACTTTATTTTATAAATGGTGTTCCACTGACACGTGTACTGCGAGATTTAAACACGTTACAGTATACATTTTCAATTTAAAGCGGGGGGAGTCGTCATCTACGCATGCGTCAGGCGGCCGTAGTGTGTCTTTGTTTACAAACAAGTGTCTACCCATGAGCCTTTGCGCTCTTAGCGTGTGTTGTTATCATCACTTTGAACTCGATTCCCGCGCGTGCGCAGGTGACAACCTTCCCGCTTTAAATTCACCCCGCTTTCCCATTGTTTTGTGACATCACATACTTACCCAAACAACTCTTCCGATGTCCGCGTACTTAATCACTGGCACCATGTTATAATTCTCTAATTTCATTTTGCCTGTAGTAGGAAGTTTACTGATGCTTTCCTTCGTCACGCTGTTTAACTTTCCACATACTTGCTTCTCCATTAACAGTACTTCGGTGTTGTTGCCATAGGAGAGCACCTTTCCCGAATAGTCACACGTGCTACTAGCTCTATCGATTTGTTCTTCCATTTCCTTCTTGTACTTGTCAATAACGATACGCTTTACGGCGGCGCGTTCGTCAACTTCACGTTTCAGATTTTCAGCGTGAAGTTCTATTTGCTCTGTGAGAAGATGTATTAAATTTTTCGCCCTCTCGTCTATGTCCTTTTTTGCTTTGACGCGACATGACTCAAGCTCTTGACCAGTCTGTTCTGCTCGATTCAACGAATACTGGCATTGAGAAATCCTCTCTTCTGCAACTGAAATCTGGGAAAGAATCGCGTCTTTTGTTGTTTTGGCGGCGTTATCGATGTCAATATTCTTGTGCCCTGTGTGTTCTTGAAGAGAACATAGTATGCAAACGGGTACTTTGCAAGTAGAACAAAACAGCTTCAATAATTCCGTCTTATGTTTCCGACACAGGGACGTGCTTTTTGATCTTGACTCTACCCAATTCCTCTTCGATAATAGATCGTCGCCGGATAGAACTTGGTGCTCCTTCGTGCTTTTCATTTTGGTGTGGTGATTGGAGCACTCTCGGCAAAGAAACTCGCTGCATTGTAAGCAGTAAGACAAAGTTAGGCTGGTACCTTCGCTCTCGCAGCTGAAACAGTTGACTTTTGACTCCCCTCTTGTTTTTCGGTAAGATTCGAACACTTTACAAATCTCGGAGACGAAGAAGTTATTCTTGAGACCATCTACGCCACTCTCGGGTAGTCTGAACGACATTCGACACACAGGGCACGATGGATTTGCTTTGAATATCGGGTTCTTGGCTGCATAATCTTTCAAACAGCGAGCACAAAATGAATGAAGACAGTCTAGTATTTTCGGATTGGTTATCCGCTCCTGGCAAATTGAACATGTTAGGAAATCCTCGTCAATTTTGTCAAGAACCGCAGCACGATCTTCGTTACTGGTGGCCATTTTACCGTCCTGGTTCAACGCACTACCATAAGCATACGTGTCAGGTAATATGACCTTTGTACTGGCGTATTGTTGCATGTAAATTACGTACCAGCTGACGTCAACATGTGTTTCTATACACAACACCGGCAGCGTATGTCAGTGTCCGCATTACAGGTTCGGTGAATGTGTCTATAATCTGTCAATAAGATAGATAGGGATTGTATTTTGTTTTTGTTTTTTTTAATAAAATTTTATTTTCTAATAATAATTACAATTGTTCACATAACAGTAAAAACGTCACAGACACGACATACAAAACATTACAAAAATAGTTTAGTACAGGGGATGATCATTCCAACAAGGGTGCCAACGCAACCCATTTTAAAACGTACTTTGTTTCGTTCAAGACATTTTTTCAATACATTTCTTTTCTTTGACAGTCTTTATAAAATAATCAAGAGAATGCGTTACATTTGTAAAGCGGCATATATATATAAAAAAAACATATTTACCTATTAAAATAAAATGTTTTAATAGTGTACATTTTTTGGGAATCCAGAGAGAATACGTTTACAGCTTAGAAAAATATTATCACTTCCCGGTATAGCCCCCCCAATAGTTTTGAAATATTTTCCAAAACGAAATTGTGGTTGTACATTCCCAGAAGATATGTTCAATTGTTTCTTTTTGTTTCCATTATTTTCAACAATTGTCCAATCGGATTTTATTTTGAAAAAGATAATTGTTGGTTGCCAAAATTCGATGCAATATTTTGAACTGAAAGATGCGCAGTTTTTCTTTCATTTTGGCAACGCACGCCAATTTTCAGATACATTTCCAATCCATTGTATCACTCACATACACAGTTGCTTTATATTTAGATATGGATATTGGTGTTTCAAAACGTTTTTCAACTAAGAAACTAAAAATCTCTTGTTTTACCACCAACAACTGTATCATTTATTTCTTTAGTTAAATTCGTATTGATATTTCCAGCAACTAATTTTAACTTCCAATAAGCTGGAATTGCGTGCAGAATACCATTAAAAGTTACAAAATCTGTCTTAATTGTGTATTTCTCTATAAATTGTTCATATGACATAAAATTACCATCTGTATTTAATAAATGTTGTAAGCACTTTACCCCATTATTTAGCCAGTGTAAATAACACACTGGTTTTCCCACCAATTAAAATGTATATGTTATTCCACAGTATTTCTGATTTGACCTCATTTGAATTACAGGGTGGGATTCTAATTGTTAGTTCATTGTTGAACCTATTATGATTGCGGTGTTTATGGTTGTAAATGTAGTATGCAAATGAATTGAATGGAATTTATTCCACCAAAAACAAAACAACATTAAATGTAGAAAATGTACAGGTAGTAAATATATATTCTACGAATTCTACCTAGAGTACTTCCCATTTTTGGTGTGAACTAGTCGGGTTCATAAATTTTCAAATAAAGAAAAAAAGAAAAAAATTACAAATTTTTAACTTTGCTTTAAATATGTGTCTCTTAGTGATGGTTGTAAATGCATCAGGCAATGAGTTCCAATGTTTTGTTGCAGGGTATTTAGTTTGTGTTGGTTGAGTGTAAGATTCAGTTATAATAATCATGCTACAGGCGAAGCGGGTTTGATAATGATGGGACAATGGATCCAAATAGTTGTAAATATTATGTACAAAATATTTATTACTGAGATCAAAGACAAATAAACAGGTTTGTAACTTACAGAGTGAAAACAAAAAATCTAGGATTCTTAGTTTTTGGAAAAGAGGAGCAGCATGGGAATACGAATCATTGAAAGTGATGAGGCGTACTATTTTTTTCTGTAAGAGATATATTGGTTGCAGTAGAGTAGCATATGTATTACCCCAGATTTCCAGGCAATATGTAATGTGTGGAAAAATTAAGGAGTTGTATAAGAGAATAAGGATATGTCTAGGTACAAACTGACGTAGTTGTGAAATCAATCCCATTTTTGGTGCAATAACTTTGCAAATTTTATCAATGTGAGCTTTCCATGACATATTCTGACCAAGAGACGCCAAGGTAATTGACAACATATACGCCCTCTATCGGTGATCCGTTGATATGCAGGCTGTCCTCAGTAGTGACCGATCGTTGTGGTGTTTTAAATATCATGTAATCTGTTTTTTTCAGGATTAATAATTAGCAAGATTAATTCAGAATTAATAGTTTGTTAGCACTGTACCACGAACCCACGAAAGTCATTATTAATTTCTGAAAGATTGATTTTATTGTTTTGAATAATTTTAAATAGGTTAGTATCATCTGCAAAGAGTCCAAAATAAAAGGAATTGGTAGAATTGGCTGTATCATTAATATAGATTTAAAATAAAACTGGGCCTAGAATCGACCTATGCGGAACCCCGCAGATAATAGGTCGGGCAAAGATGAAATATTTTCAATAAATTACATTAAGAATAAAGAGATTGAATGAAATTGCAAGGTTTGCGCCACTCAATGTTGGGAATATGGCGTTCCATATCGGCTTTAGCCGTTAAACTACTAGTATTGCGTGCTGCATCTGTCCCGATTACGCTTACAAGATAACAATATCATTGTAGGCGAGGGATTACTATGAACAGACTGTAAACACATTTGTACATTTACCTGCATACTAAATAAAACAAATAAGTAATACGAACCTCATGTTGTTTAGTACGATAATATAACGGCGTAAAACACTCGTTTATCCATACTCTTTACGAAAGAATCTGAATCAGCGAACTGTTGAATCGAATTTTGACTGTATGCTATGGGAGGAATATAAATTCCAGGAAACTAGGTGAAGTGCGAACATTTTAATATTTTCATAAATACGTCAGTAACTGGATTTGCTCTCCACAGAGGTGGTAAACACGTAGCAATACATTGTACATTAATCGTATTGCACAAAATAATTTAAACCGGAAGCCAGCACGGAGAAGCCGCAGGTATTTATACAGGTTATAAATATGCAAAGTCGAAGGTTTGCAAATAAGGGATTAACTTTATTGCACGAATTCAAGGCTATTTGAATTTCTATGTGTGCTCATAACGTGGTCGTTATTTTCAACACTGTTTACCGGTAATATACTTCGCTTGTTACACCGGTAAGTAATTCCTCGTTAAACTTGTCATGGTTTTATTTGTATGGTAAACTTTTGTTTGACACTAGTAAATAGTAGGTCGATATCATTAAATTTTCAAAGCATGGTGTGTCGTCCAGTGCTCACAATAAATAGTTCATCGATGATATTATAATATTTATATTACATAGAATTATGTTGATGTCGTTTCAAGAGACATAATTTTTTTACTGTTTAAAATGTTGTATATCGTAGATGCTAACCCCCCCCCCCGTAATTGCTATTACTGTATCCTTTTACGCGGGTTTACTTTCAATACTTATTTTAGACCTTCATAGTTTAATTAATGTTTATAGCAACAAAATGCTAATTTCGAACAGTTCTTTAAATAGGATTGATTGCATTGCCACCTGTACCAGCGCAAAACAGTGTACATATATCATTTAATCATTATGTAGTTTATGTGTGTGTGTTCCGTAAAGAACTACAAGGGGAAATTGTTCTTCGTGTGATGTGCACACATAATTACATTTTTGGACCAATACTCATAGGACTAGGTCACATTAAATAGTGCAACATTAAAGGATAAAGAAATGAATAATGAAATTCAAGATTGTTATACTTAATACAGAATAAAACAATACAAAAAAAATAATTAAACACAAAAACCTAATAACTTTAAATAAATAAAAAAAAACTATATATATATTTAAACAAATTGAATTGATAAAATCAACACGACTTACGAGGATTGAAGAGATTAAACTCGAGTTTTAAAATTTAAATGATTTTAAACCCGTCATACCACTGCTGTTACCTTGCAGTTGGAACTTTGGAATTTGAATTGATAAAATCCACACGACTTACGAGGATTGAAGAGATTAAACTCGAGTTTTAAAATTTAAATGCATTTAAATGATTTTAAACCCGTCATACCACTGCTGTTACCTAGCAGTAATTAGAACTTTGACCTCTCGCAGAGTATTTAAAAATATGTTCAAGTGTAAATCTGTGCTGGCATGTTGTACGATACGAGCATCCTGCTATGTGCAATGTACTGACAATTTAGCAATGCACGGAGATGTCTGCCACAAACAACGGGGTCTATTGATTTTGATAACACGCAGCACGAGTCGAGCAGTTTACAACGTGTTTATCATTGCAATTGATGTTGAAAAAATATATAGTTAAATTTCTTTCGAGTAGTGTTACATATCGTATTGTTAAGCTAGATACATTTTAATTAATTTTTTATCGAATTGTATTTTAATTGAGTTTAATTAAATTGCGCTCTCATAGAAGGTTGCAATTTAATTAAAAATTGCAAATTGCATCTCGCGGGTTCTGAATAATCAAGGACATAACAGAGAGAATTAACGCCGCTTTATACCCTGAGCTGTTCCTCTAAATTAAACATGATGGTTTACAAAGTTAGTTAAGCAAGGTTACACAAGGAATAGACTGGTTAAAGCCTTCAAAACGTTTTTTTAAAGACGTGAACAGATATTTATGTGAGACAGCATTTCTAATTTCAACTCTTTATGACTCACCCATGACTGTTTTAAGATTACTTCTTTACATTGATTTAAAAATGTAAGACCAATCATGATAGGTTGAAATCAGCAAGGTATGATTACTTACTCTCGACAACTAGTACCAACGCTGTGACGTCAGTGCTTCGTGATGGTCAGTTCTTTATTTTGTTTATTTTACAGTCATCGACTTATTTGGACCTAGTAACTATGGCTCTGTAAGTCAACAAACGCTGACCCTGTTGTGACACATATTTATTCAACTCATTTTCAAAATGTTGTATCATTCCTAAAACATTTGAGGTCAAAAATCCAACTGCTAGGCAACAGCAGTGACATGCACGGTTAAAATCGTATTTAAAAACGATAGAGGTTTAAACTCTTCAATACTCGTAAGTCATGTTCAATTCACCAATGTATACCTTTAAGTTGATTTATTTAGGTTTTAAGTTGTTCTATTATTGTTGTTAATGTTTTTATTTTGTTTTCTTCAATTATTATTTATATATTCCTATATGTTTCTATATCAATGTCACAATGTAACTCGCGCATGCCTCAACTTTACACACAGACAACGACGACGTAGTGAATCTGTGACAGACCACGGCTTTGTAGAGCCCACTTTCAAAAGCCCATTTTTTTTAATATGAAGACATGCGATCAATATAAAAAAATCCCCACGTTCATTTAAAGAGTAACTAGATACTAACATGTGCCAGATTTTCTTATTATCAACACGCCATATAAGCCAAGCCAAATGAATATTTAAATTGCTATTGCTATGTATGTATGGCGTATGAACAGCAGTTGTTTATTGATTTTCTATTCTGTTGTTATTGTAGGCATTTGTTCCACTATGGTGTTGTATTATGTCAGGTCACGTATGCGGGCATAATTTGTAGCACACTGTCCGTTTAGACCCCAGACTTGGGGGGAAATGCCAGGCAACTAGTTATGCTACATTTTTTTTATAAAAATGTATTTCTAGATTTTTTTGAAATGTTATATGACCTTAAATGTGTTCTTAGTTATCCGCACTTATTTGTTTGCTTATGTGGTTTCGGTCATAATATAGATTGTTCTATTATTCAACATGGACCTGTTCATTTCATGTGGATAATGGCAATTAATTGAATTAGTCGCGAATGTGTTTCGATATTATTAGCACGACTCTCACTTCTTTTTACCTAACGATTTGCGATTCTGTTTGTTTTGGTACAGAAAATGGAATGGGCCTATCTCCTAAATTATTCGCCAGGAAAACGAAAGAAAATCGTATTGTTTGCTTGTATGGTTGTAATTGTTTATCAAGGTAATCAACACGTATTGTATTGTACAAAAATGTATGTGGAAAATAATATTATCTGCTGTATATTTTATAAGTTCGCACTTTCTGGTTACGTCAGAAAATTTTGAACATCCTATTTTGCAGGCGTACATACATTGCCAAAGATGAATCGTGTTTTGCATGGACTTTCAACTATTTTAACGAATAAAAGTACGACGCGTGTCGCTACGGTACGTACTTTTGGAAGTAGTTCATTTAGTTCACATTGGAATTATTTCACAGTTCCAATGTGGTATTATATGGAGGGGTTTTCGAAACACGTTGAGCGTCAGTGTATGTGAAAACTGTATAAAATACAAGCATGGACCATATGCCACGTTCTTGATTAACACGAATGACAAAAAAACAGTTCACAAGTGATAAATTATTTCAAATGTATCAAATTGAAAACAAAATGAGAATGCATAAATTAGGTGAATTTAATTCGGTCGATTAATTTATTTTATAATTTATTTGTAAATACAATAATGAATAATATAATAATTTCCGCATTTGATGTGATGAAAAGTTGATTACAACGAATTTGAATTTACTAGTACTTCTAGTTATAGTAATAGTTCTATTTTGTGCCTCATAATATAGACATAGTTTGCACTAAGTGAAATATTTCTTTGTAATTTTAGCTTTTGAAATGTCCAGACATGGCACATTAAACTTTCAAAGCTACCATCTTATATGTAACATTTGAAACGTGATGAGGTATTCTACCTCAAGTTATTACATAACCAATTGTATAGCTTCTTAACTGTCGAATGTGCATTTTTGCATATTTTTTTTTTACTAGGTGCCTGTAATAGATCCTGTTGAAAGCACATATGACTCAAGACGAGCCAGTGAGAAAAGACTTGAGAAAAGTGCACTGGAATGTGTTAAGCACAAAATTGTGTATAATCGCACTATCTCGACTGTACTAGTATCAAATGAATACAGGGTCATTATTAATGTCATTCCTAAAGTGGGGTCAGGTACATGGAAAAGACTTATGCGTGGAATTGACCCAACTTCAGCCAATGCCAAAGGCAGACGTCGACTGAACTTTCTGAAGTCATCTGAGTATGATCAGTATGTTAGCGGGGTGTTCTTTCGAGAACCATTGGAACGTCTGGTATCGTTTTACCACTTCATAATTTCTCCACATTCAACTACCCACTTCAACCACTATCACAAATATATAAGAACAGAGAACGGGAACGGCACGACTGATAATGAACCGACATTCAGCCAGCTTGTACAGATGATTATAGATCATGGCCAGGTACCACCTCATTCTCGGCATTGGGAACGTCAATACCTACTGTCGCGTATATGCGAGTTTAATTACACTTTTGTTGGCCACATGAATCACCTATCTCAAGACGCCCCATACTTTGTACATATTGCATTTGGGGACGCAGCCCATTATCCAGTGGTACATGAGAAAAAAGGTGAAGACAAATTCAGGAAAACAATGTCAACTCTGTCACAAACACTGATTGATCGGCTTATAGATTATTATAGATTAGATTATGAAATACTTGGATTCGAAATTCCAGACTTATCTAAAAAATAGAAAACAATGTTGCTCATGTGTTTGCCACTTTATTACAATTTATCTGGAGTTGGAAACGCTCCTGAAAATTTCATGAAAACTCGTTTTTAGATATGTCGTTCCAGAGATTCATATTTCTATGGCAATCGGGCACTCATCTAAAATCCACCAATCTTCCGTAATATTTCATCAACATTTGTTCATAATATTTTGAGTTCCAAAAAATACCTTCTGTATATATGGCAGGCGGATCCAGATAAGTCCAAAAATGTATCTGATTTTTTTTTCAAGGGCAGCACTTCCTCATCTAATCTACTGTTACACCATGAGAAGAACCAGCCTATATGTTTAGTAATACCGGCATTATACAGTGATCTGTTAAATCGATTTGCCTGATTCTGCTGGCATGGGACGTTCTACAAAATGTTGTAATCGAATGAATGAACGAATCAATGAGCTTTCTGGACTTGAACAATTTCTGCTACAGACAAATGGCGTCCGTTTACAGCCACACGCCCTGGGGGGTATTGCCCATGTGTAAAATTCACATCAAATAGTGCCCTCTATAGGAACAACTTTTATAAAAAATATTATCCGGTGACAATAAACATCTAATATGTCGTTATAAGATGAATAATTCTGGTTGTCACAAATTATTAGATTCCGCGACATCACGGGCTTATCTTGTAACCTGTTTACGACACTCGTTTGGAAAATCAAAATGTACAGCCCTGTCTTCCGTGAAGCCTAACCCGTATGTACACGGGTGGTACCGGCTTGTATCTCGTGTGAGATTTGAGTTCTTGTGATCTGGTGGGTGAACGTCGGGTTGACTTTACAGTCAAAATCAAATGAGCGGTGAGGGGGAGAAGAGCGTTCTGTCAAAACAATTTTACCGTCGACTCAATTTTAACGACCAATATGAGGCGTTCTATTTATTATAAAATCGACGTTGTTACAACCCTGCGTTACAACTAACAGGCAAAGCTGGTTGGGTGACGGTCAAAGTCTGTGCAACAACAACGCCGCTGTCAGACGTGGATTGTATAAAAAAAACACTGGACAATGTTTGATAGACGCAATGCATGGAATGATGGGTGATACCTCCAGCGTAAACAAAACCTGATGCGTGTTGAAGGCATGAACGAAAACGACCTATTGAAAAGATTATGAATTGGAACTGCCTGTGACGTGTTGTCTGGGCGCCGTTTCGTCCTACAGTCAAATACAGAAACAAAAACTGATTTATTTTCTTATGCCAAGACCTGGTCGTTCATGCATTTCAAGCATGGCGTATTTACTTCTCGTGTGTGCTGTGGAAACATCTGATTTCGCGGTTTTGAGCTGTCGAAGTATTTCGCGAAAAATAAAACAAAGGGTAACACCATACGAAGCAGTCAGGCCAATGTCTTGTTGATATCCGAAACTTGGAACCTCTAACAGAACGGTTATTTCCTGTACGCCTACCAGTATTACCCAACTACCATTTGCAGCTCATTGCAGTCTGACACTTATTCACTGTAACCCTTCCCTTTTCCAGACTGTCTAGAAAGTTATACAAAAAGTATCATCCCTTAGAAAACACAAGTCTTTGCCGTACGATCAAAGGAAAAATGCCCCCATAATAGTAACCAACATCGTTCTGGCGTTCCTAAAAATAAATTTAAAAAAACGAACACTGCATTGCTTAGTAGCAAATAATCACGGTAACAAAATCCGATCATGCTGCGTTTCACAATTATTATTATTACTTGGTAGTGATTATTAATAAAGTGAAAAAAGTAAATTCGTTGAATTGTTCTGAAATGCAAGTAAATTTCTATTTAGTTTCATCGTACGCAAATGACTCCGGTCGCATGCAAATGCTCGACACCTGATAGGTAAAATCGCTAATCAGCCAATCAAAATACTCGGTGATGCCAACGTGGTCAAATACCAATTTCACTGATTTACCATTTTAGGCATATTCAGTGGGTTTTAAATTCACGGTTTTATCATTTAGATAATATGTTTTATGCTAAATTGTACATATTCACTGGGTTTTAATTTAGCGCATTTTCCTGTCAGCGAAATAAGCCAAATTAAAACCCAGTGAATAATTACCATTTTACAGTAGGCGTCAATGACTACGGTAAAATTCGTAAGATTGTGGGTCAAGAGTGAGTGTTGCTTTGACTTGGGTATTGTGTTTTACATTCCAACGGGAAATTTTTGCATGGTTTTAATTGAAAGCCCGTAACCTAATGTTAATGACATTGTTTACTGTCCTACATCGTCATGTCCTAGTGTTACCGATGGTTAGACATAGACAAACTACGTAACGATAATGCTGTTTGCCGGGGTTGTTTGTAAACCAACAAGCTTTGTATATTGAATAAACATCTAGGGGATTTATATTTTCGTTTACTCAAACTGTGACTGACAGGTATTTTGCATACATTAGCCACCATTTTAAACTCGTGATTTTCACTGGTCGCGGCACGTTTCGACCGAAAATAACAACATTTATACATCAAAAGTCCACCCAGATGAGTGTAATCGCTAGCGTACATATCCATGCCCCCGTGGATATATATTTGGAACCACAGCTTGATCTCCAAACATCGTAAATGGCACATTTCACGGAGCTCCCGCCACGATGTTAGGAGCTTGGTTCGGATTAGCATACTAATACGGTGGCCATCTTGACCCTTATTTATAGTATCGGTTCCCATTTAAGCTAATACTATAGATTTTTGCCAAAGATCCAACATGGCGACACAACCATGCGACTGATGAAATTTATTTATTTTTTCTCGCTAAAAGCTTACATGACGTTACCTGCCAATCACTCATGACAAACAAATGCACAAACGTCTTTGCCAACCCACGTGACTGATCCGAATGCAACACTGCAAATTTAAAATAGTCGCATACATGTATCTCTAGGACTAAGCACTTTCTGTTTAGATGTAATCAAAAATGTCGGAAAACCACGTGACCAACTTCAAGAATATTTTCAACCATAAATATGCCTCATATATATAAATGCTAAAAAGTAAATTTCAGATCAATATGTTCAGTGGTTTTAAAGAAGATGCATGACCTTTTTAGTGCTTATATATATTGCATATGAAATACAGGAGGAGAAGAAAATGAAGAAATAGAAAAAGACACCATAGACTAATCAATATCTCAGTTGAATGAATATAAAAAGTATCACGTCTTTATTGTCATGAAAAAATACGATTAGAATTTGTGCAAAATGGACATGGCACTTATATCTTAAATTTAAAAAAAATTACATTGAAAAAACACTCAAGTTTATCTGAAATATATATGTAGTTGTCCAATCTCTGTTACAGAAAAGGCTTCGTTGATACACCAGATGTTGTTTAACTTATCTATACCATATACCGTGCTATTGTAGCCGTAGTATTCCCCATATTTTCTTGAAATAACTCATGCTTGTCACATAAGCAGGTGTGTCATCATTGAGAGTGATACGAATAGACAGTTTCACAGATATCAGATGAATAGCTTTACAAAGACCAGGAGCTTTTTATGGCCCACCTGATGGATTGGGGACCAGGAATAAACCACCGATGCAGAATTACCATCTGCGATAAAAACATTATTAGTTGTTTCAACAAGTGATTGTGGAATTGACTAGTGTAGTACGGAAAAGGCCTTCACCAGCACTCGCATGAGATATACTGAGTTGAACCAGAGTTCTGGGGAAACCAGGATGGGAGTGTGTACAAATCCTCAGCAGTCGCTGGTTAGCTGTTGTATATATCTCGTAGCGTCGCTTATGTGTGGGCTTCGAATGCGAAGGCAACGTTCAGCGCCATCAATGTTGTGAAACACATTGACGGTGCTGAATGTTACGTTGCATGGAGCGTAAACTTCAATTGACCTCACTGTGATGACGCATGCGTTGTGGTTTACGGAAAATAGGCCCGAAGCATGCGTACTTCATACACAATATGCTAATAACGAGGTTATGACGTAGACATATCTCATGAATATTATTTTAAAGTGAAATTATTGATAGAAAGCATTAAGTATGAAACACCGGAATCACGTATATTTGGTCTTGACCCCCGCTCTGTCTATTGTGGTTATTTGAAGACTGTAAATTGGTCCCCAACATTTAAAGGGCGGCAGTCGCATACGCAAGATATATGGGTCTCATATAAACAAAGATGGCGACTTTGACTGTTGCGCAGATCAACGAGTACAAACTGAGATATTTCCAAGCTTTAATTAGGTAATTTACAGGTGATTGGAAGGTATCGAAGGGGTCACTGGCGGTACTCAGTACACAAATATCGCACATGCGCAGCGGGACGACCATTGCGCTTTAACAACTCCTTTCTCGTTTTAAAATACAATCTGAATGAGCTACGGCAAGCCGAAAAGTTCTCGATTGCGTACAGCGCCACCAGTGGCTGTTCCCGGCTCCATGCGTCAAGTCACCAATGGCAGGTATGCAACCTTCAATAAAATCATGACCAAGTCAGTTTTAATCAGTGGTGTTTCTAATAAATGTAAGACTGTCTGTTTCTGAAATTTCTCATTTCTGGTTATAAAGATAAGGAGATTTACGGATTATTATGCACTGTATATTATTGCACTATTTGTGCAAACTCTACGAAGCAATCGTTTGATTGCGATGGCAGAGCAGATATAGAGGGCGCACCCTTGTTTGATTTTACGGAGAAAAGGCACAGGAACGATTCAAATATTGATACATATAAGCTCTGTGTATCGGTGTAAACCAGTTTAATGTAGCAAATATAATTCTCCCTGAAGTCAAAATCATTTAAACCATTTTACAAAGATTCACGATAAAGCATATAAAAGGTTATTTCTTGGTCAAGAGCAATAGTATCTAATTGGATGTTAAAATAGTGAACAATGGTCAGTTTGATGTTGATGCTATGTATACTTAGACTGAGACTTCTCTGTTAAAATTTCACCTTTTAGAGTGAGCTCCGAGTGAGTTTGTTGTGTTGTATTCAAGGGCCCTTTTGGGA